TACTGCTAATCTAGTAATTTATTAGGAATAGAATATTTTACAAGATGATGTACGGGGAGGGATGTTCTTGATATATGGTGCTTGATCTCTTTTGATGCCACTGTTCTATTTTTTAAGTAGCAATCACCAAAGTTTGTAGTCAGACAGGAATCATATCTATCAGTCGATCAGATCAACTACTTACGATGTTGATATGTTAATTTTTCAAATGTTAAAAATAACAGAAGTTACAGTACGTACTTCTGCAGGCAAAAAATATTCTGTTCTATCATTCTCCTAATTGACTGTGTCTGTCAGATCATTTAATAACTTCAACGACAATAATAATAAGCGCCATAACACCCTAAAGATTTGTATATTAATGGAAATTCATTTCCGTTTCAACCTAAAGTATTATATCAGAGTGATCATTATACATGAAACATACAAAGGAAAAGGTACCCTAGAGCCTAGGTTCATAGACAATGGACATCAGCCTGGACTATAAAATTTGTGACCAATATTTTTTTTTAACTCTGTGCACAAAAAAACTAATTTTAATACACATGAACTAAAAGAAAACTTAATATAAAAGTTATATTCGGTTACATACTTCAACTAAATATTAATTTCTAACCCTCATTGTATCAGATGTTACGGGCCAAAGATATTGTACAGAGGTAGAGTAAGGTGATAAATATCTTTAAAATGCAACTAACTTTGAAAATCATTTGAAGATGTATTTCTGTTTGATTGTTGTACTAAAGTTATGGATATGGAGTGTGTGGCTGTGGTGAAGTTGTCATTTTGAAAGAAAAAATAGCATGTGGCAGGGGCGGATCCAGAAATGGTCTGAAGGGGGGGGGGGGGGGGGCACGAAAGAAGGGACGATCTAGGGCCTCCAGGGGCATGCCTCAATAAAATTTTTGTTTTCTAGATGCCTGAAGGTTAACTTCTTCTTTTTTTTTTTCACTTTCCAATCCCTATATCTGCTCCTGTATGGTGGTTGTTATGAGGCAAGGTGGTACCAATAGTTGTGTCCATATCTGATCCATATTAAAAATAAAATTAATCTTTTCTATATTGAAATGATGTTCCATTTTACACCAGCATGAGACATCAGGATTACATGCATCATAATCAATGTGGGCTCACTTTAAATTACGACAAGTGGCAGCACTCTGATTGCATAGACGTATTAGATTATCTCTAGTGAAAATTCTCGTGACAATCAAGATGTGAAATAACGAAGATAACAAATTGATAACACTGACAGATATACAAACCAAAGGACACAGGGACAAATGAACAGTAGTGTACATGAGTGTATTGGCAAGCATTGCAATAACAGTTTATGATGCACTAATGTACTGTAAATAAAGTAATGTAAACACATACATCATCAGGGGTTGATTTGATAATGCATGGCATGGCAATGTACTGTTTTGTGTCGTGGATGTTTACTGTACATTCAATGTACAATACATGTAGCTTGAGAATGTAGACCTAGAACCTAATTAAGCTCAATCTTAACCTCAAACTATCTTTTTCAAATATCATATTATATGTTGGTATTTGTTCATTCTGTTTGTTACCCAAGAAAATAAAAACAATTTGTATTTTTTATATCTCATAAAATATGCCTGTTTTTCCAAAATAATAGTTATTAATAAATAATGAGAACAATAATAAACATTCACAATCAATTACCATCTTCCTTTCCTATTAAAATGAGCTTTCCTTGATGTGAACCATGACTTGTACTCTACTGTACTGTATCTTGTACCCAAATTTACATGCATTATCTATGCATACATTGACATTTAGGATGACACAAACCCGCTTTTAAGACACCCTCCGATCCTCACGTTATCAAACTTGTGCCAAATTTATATCCAATCCATCAAATGAACATGAACAAATTCCAAAGTCTGCTTATCAATATACAGTATGCATGCAGAAAACAGCCTATTTAGACTACTAAGAATACATATGGTACTTATGTTAACTTATAAAGAGGTACTTGGCACAAAATGGATTTGTTTTATATTGCTAACAATAGAACTGGCTTAAAATAAACAGATTACAATGACAGTCTATATAGATGACTCAGTAAATGACCGATTATTATCACATATTAACAAAATGTTACTCTAAATTTACACATTATCAATATTTTAAGTATTAGTACATCCAAGGGTCACTCAGTCGAAATCTGCGTACCCATGTGCATGGCCATGCTTGAAAAATGGCCTGAACATGTTTTGCAATAGAAACAAAAATCACTCCTTTTCATGAAAATGTAACATGTTACATTAGGCCTAGAGTCAAGTTTCTGATACTGTACTTGTTTTTAGGAAAATAAAAATTTACAACCTCCCAGAACAACTACTTAAAGCCAAGCTCTGGAGGAAAAAATGTTTTGATATGTTGTAATTTACAGATTTTTGAATATTTAAAAACTGGTGGGGGGGGGGGAAATGGTGGTTATGCTCCTTTTCCCCCAGTTTTTAAATATCCTATTAAAATCTGTATCTCATAAACTGCTCCAGAGTTTTTCGTCAAAATACGTTTTGTGTCTTAGAAAAATCAGTTGTACAACATATCAATATTTTTTTTCCTTCCAGAGCCTGGCTTTAATTAATTAATGGATAAGAAAAATACCCCTATGAATACCGATGGATAAAAACCTCAAGCTTATATGCTTATAGGTAGGCTTATACCCAAGGAATTACAGTGATTATGAATTATTGGTAAACCTTCATTTTGTGGTGATGTAACTAAAAATAACAACTGCTGGTAATAGCGAATATCATCGTGCTGACTCGGGAGACCAGCTGTGTTAATTGTATACTGGTCAATTACACTAATACGACAATAAATGATTGATCGTTTTAAATGCTACCAAGGACTTGAATCTTTTTTTTTTTTTCTTTTTAAACATCCTGCATAGCTTTGGTCATGTTGTTGTAGGGGTGTGTTAGGGTAAGCCTATGAAAACAATGAGATACATTTTGAAATTAATGATTTATAAACTTATGAAATTTCTTGTGATTTTTCAATTTCTTCCATTGTGTAAGAGTTTAAATTCATTACTACAATACACTTGACAAACATGTGAACAAGTGTAGATTCAGAGGAAGAGGTATTTTTTATTAGATCCAAGTGTATAGTACATTACCAGTGTCATATCTAGGAGCCTTGAGATGGGGAGGGGACACAAAGGGCACAAAGGTGAAGTGTGGAGGGGGTCAATAATTAGGAGATGGGCACTAGATCACAATATAAGGTGATCTAAGGTGATTTTTATCTACTTCATTGCAATCTTTTTTGGAAATGGGGGGGGGGGAATGGGTGCAAGCATTTTATAAGGGTTGTGCACCCCTATACACCCCCTATATATGACAATATACATCGTAATTCATTAAAGCATATATTTTATAGAAGGAATAATCATTGCAGTAGCGATATAGACCTGGAATAGTACAAAGATGTTTTTATGTAGTGTCATAAAAATGATAAAAGCAGAATTCAAACCCAAATACTTTAATTTACTGTTTGGTAGATGTAAAGAATGAGTCAGTATTCTAAATTTCAACTATTCAAGAGTCAGATAACAATGGAATTTTGACAATTCCAACCGCTATTGACAATCAAAATAAGAATCCTCATAAGGAGGTCCTTATGAATAATACAAAAAAAAAAAAAAACAACAGATGAGAGTTGAATGGGCATTGTTAATGCATTGATAAGGTCAAAGGTCACAAGTCTTTTAAAGTTTAATAATTAATATCATTCATCAGACATTGTAGCCATTATCTTTGGTAATTTTATTAAATATTTATTAAATGTAAAATAGGTTTCAATATAATTACACTTTGTCTCCAAATTCCAGATCAGCTTAACAGTGAATTCATTAAGGCAGAATGTTAATGAACTAGAACTAGAATGAACCAAAGGATTCTGTTGCTGTATCAGTTAACTAGTGTGCTGTGTTATGTGATCAGCGTTACTAATACGAGCGTTGGTATTATTTTAACGTATTGCATATCACAAAATTTGATGCATGGCTGACATTGGAACTTAACCTATTGGTCTTTAGACCTAATGACTTGCATAAATGAGTTGCACTCAATTATTTAAGTGTAAATACTACAAGGAACAAATAATATAAGCATGGTTTTATAATGAAGAATTAATAACTTCTAAGTGCAATAAATAAAAATATATAAACCATTTCATTTCACACCGTAAATAATTTCAAATATAAATTTGTAAGGTAATAAAGATCACAGAAAAGACTAACAAGGAATGAGAATGAATGCAATGAAAGGAAAGTGAGACAAAAACAGCGAAAAAGAATAATAAACTGAAACAGAGAAAATGTTTTAGTTCCAACCAAAGATGAGAAAATATTTTCAAAAAAATTTTTGAGTATGACCCTAACAACAAACATGTCTTGCTAGTGAAATTATTTTGATAACAAATCTTATGTGTCAGAGCAGAATAAAATTTTTGAAAAAATATTATTTTAAGTAACTTTTTTTCTAGACATAGCATTGAACAGAAATGTTCTGTTTGTCCCTGGAGATGTTGGCTTATGGTCTTACTGTATGTTTCAAAGAAAAATTAACTATTCTGAAGGATAAAAGTTCAGAAAAAAAAAATCACTTTTAAGTAATTTTTTTCGAGACATAGCATTAAACAGAAATGTTCTATTTGGTTAGAGACTTGTCCCTGGAGATGTTGGCTTATGGTCACTGCACGATAAGGATTATTAGGCCTAGCCTGTCAGATGGATACTTTAAGAACAGGCCGACATGAGGGTCTCGGATTGCAACTTTCTTTAAATGGAACTGAGCATGGCATTGTGGGACTGTGAATCTCACCCAGGGACGTTTCTGCAGTGCCTTTGTGATTAAATCTATGGCATTAAAATATATCTAGGATCATTCCCAAAGAAACTTAGTTAATAAACTGATAAAGGTCAAAATTAGAAAATATATAAAAAAGATACTTACATCTAATTTTGATTTGAAGAATGGAGCTCCCATTCCGATAACCCTTAATAATACCTGAAGAAGAAAAGATGAACAAAATATTGCTAATTAATACAAAAAACAAAGAGTTTCTTTATGTGTATTTCTGTAAAGATAGTACAATAACTAAAGAAATATTATAGCTAATAGTCTCATTACCATAATTTTGTGGTAAAAAATCTAATCACTTGCAAAGAACAGACCATTTTTCCTGACTTTGGTAGCCAGTCACTATCTTATGGTATACATAATATATTTTCTAGAAAAGTATAAAATTTCATTAATTACAATTCATGCCTAATCTCAGAGACAAATATTAATTAAATAAAGCATATTTTGTGGTTAAAATTTAATTGAAAATTTAATAAAAAAAATTTCAACCATGGGTAAAATTTGGTAGTCAATGACATTGAACTGGTCATCGGCATATCAACACGGTAATCAACTTTCATATATGAGAAGGATGTTTCTGGTAATTAACAGTTCCTTCTTAATCTACAGATGTCGGAGTCTTAGCCTCGACACGCCACAGTGCCTGTTACAACTTACAGGGGATTTACCCATCGATTCATTGAGGTGCTGAGCAGGCAAACAGACTTTTTCAATTTCAAAAGCAGGTAAAATTTAAATGAAAGAAAAAGTTTACAAATAATAAAAGAAAAGGTTAATTATAGTTCAGCATAAATGCGGCATAGTAGGTTGTACTAGCGCAGTGGCATAGGAAATCCTTGAGCCTTCCCATCTGTCAGATAATCATGGATCCCCTGTTGTCCAGGTCCAATGAAAAAAATACTTTTTCACTATATTGAGGTTTAAAAGCAAAACTTTTATCATTCTAAAACCTAAAATCTCATGCCTAACTCCCAGTTGAAAATTTACCGAGGGACATGACTAAATGATCTAGACCCTTTTGATTTGGACCCCTTTTCGGACCTATTTCCTGTTGGCAAATTTCTGGAGGCATCACAGGATGTATGTATCTAGTGGTGGTGGATTCAAGGGGAGGCAGTTGGCCTGGGCTCCCCTTGAATTTTTTAAAATTGTAAAAAATTGGGAGAAAAAATGAAAATTACATTTAACTTTATATCTGAGAGTGCCATTTCCGGCCATCTAGAGATGCCATAATCGTAAATTTTCTTACCTCAGCCCCGACCATGGTCGGGCTGAGGTGGTAAACTGTAGACCCTTCATCAAGTCCCTCCTTGGGGTCTCTCTATTTAAAATGCCTGGATCCGCCACTGTTATCTACAGTAGTGCAGTACATGTTGTGATGTGCATAATTACTATACCACTGGTAATTGGGTTCATGAACCCAAGTTTTCAGTTGTAGGTGCAAGAAACAGTTGTATTTTATTAGTAAATTTAAACTTCAATCTAATTTCAATTTATGCACTTGTTTGATAACTACAGGTGTCAAATAATCAATTATCAGAATGCAAATAATATTTGGATGAACACAAAATATGCATAGATATGCATCTTAAAACAAAAAAGAATTTTCATTATACATTAGATGATTTTTCTTGAACGTATAAACAATGAAACTGAATACAAGTCTTCTCATGTGACTCTAACTAGCTGCCCACCCACCCACGCAAAATCTCATTTTGGGAGGGATAACATCCTCCCCGCACCCACACACACATTAGTTAGTAGTTCCCCCATGATTGGCTGCTGATTGATCCCACACAAAACCCCTAGAAGCGAGTCTGTAGCCTGTCAGTCAATGGTTTCTGAGGATGTACATTGACTGTCAGTGCGTTACTGATAATAATCACAATACTGATTGACGTAATAAAATGGTTAATTCACTTATGTATACCATAGCACTGGCTAAATCTGCCCAGGGGCTATGCATGTACAGACATACACATCTGTTATACACCATGTTTGTGTGTACTTCATACATTTTTTACAATTCACTCACAAAGTGTTTCTACTGAAATACGGTTTCTAGGAATGGTTCTTTCAATGAAAGATTTCCTAAGGCAGTAGAAACTACAGGATACTAAAAACAAACAGATTATTACTGTGCCGAAAAATACAACATAAAAGCTATAGATTTGGGTCTGTGAATTTTTTCCATCATTCATAGGCCATTAGAATGGTGCTGTTTTGGTTGCGATAAAAGAAATCCTGCTAGTGTTTTAATAATAGAATTTGATCACAGGGCCCTGGAAGGCAAGCCTCTTGACCACCAGGCTACACCGTTCAATTTTCCAGCTTTCCATGTATGTAAAAAGTCAGACCACTATGGTCAGATAATGCTCATTCTCGTATTAAGTCTGTCAGATACAATATTTCCAGATTTTGTATTTGTGCGAAATGGCAGACAGAAAAAGGGAGAGCCACTGGAAAAGATAATAATGACCTTTGTCTTCTTTATGATGACAGAATTCCATTCTACCTCCTCACAATAATTAAATCATTTCTGAATGAGTGTAACTATATTATCTAATTATGCTAATGGAATTTAGTATTATTAATCATTTTAATTTCTACCTTAGAATGACTGCGAGGTTTAGTTCAAACATTTGGACTACATCTGGCATATCTGTACAGCCAATTTATTTGTGAATTAAAAAAGAAGAAAGAAAATTTGTCTTTTTATAGAATATAATTGTAATTCAGAAAACTATTATAATAATTATAATATTGTGACAATTTTTCTTTATCTTTAAATCTACGTCAATTTTTTTATATTATCTCAGTTATTTTTATTATTTTATTTATTTTTTATTTTATTCATTTATTTACTCCAAACAACAATAAAAATTACAAACGCAATATAATCAGAGAGAAGGAAAAACACTGAAATGGCTGGACAGGATTGCCAAAACCACTGTATAGCGGCCCTCTGATAGGCCTATAAATGAAAACATTAATTAGCATATGATAAAATTCAATAAAAGTCAATATGTACAAAATTATCAACGAAATCATTGTCATAAGTTAATTAGAAAATAATATTTAGCGAATATTGGTTATAATAAGTTTACTTTAAAATAATTCTGACCACTAGTACTGTAGTGTCTTCAAAAAATGACTATCTACAACAATACAGATATTCCATGTCCAATGCATTGAGGACTGTATCTTTTGTGAAAATTATATAATTTAAAAGGGCAAAAGTACAAGAGACCCTTATGATTTGAAAAAAATGCAACTTATCCACTAAGATTACTATGTCTTGTGAATTTACCGACTTTAAGTATTGATTGGCTATGATTATTAATACTTCCTTTAATATCCAGATCAGTTTACTGGACAGGTATGCACAGTATATGAAATAACCATTGTTCTTTGAACTATTGTATTTTGTAAATTGTGTATTTTACCTGTATTCTTTTCCTTTTATCGTTTTTTTTATATTGTTAGAATGGCATCACGGCCTTGTTGAAAAACACCCTTGGGTGATACAAGCTTCCGTGTGTAAATAAAGATTTTATTATTATTATTATTATTATGGTACATGCTTCTGCTACTCGCTTAATGAATCTAATTAAAAATATAAGTGTTTATCTAGCTATACTGAGTGTAATATGGCTCAGTAACAATAATAATGCTCTTTTATTATCATTATATTTTAGCTCACTGTAATTACATGTTGAATAGCAACTGTTATTTGGTATTTTAAAAACCGTAATACATTAATTTCGAAGATATTGCAAATACTTCTTCAATGTTGTTTATGTATTTCATAAAAAAATATATGACAATAAAGTCACCATGAAAGAAAACAAAAATGGATGCTCTGAATATTTTTACATGACCTAAAAAGATGATAGATTAGTCAATGAGCTAATTGTGCTATTTCAAAAAAATAATAAATTTAAAATATTTGTCAATAATGAATAAAAAAAAAATTGTAGACTAACAGATATCCAGAACTGAAGAAAAAATATTTGAATTAATGACATGAAATAGATGTGGGCTAAGACCACCTCACATGTTTAGTCATTTTGTTTTGTTCAATATTTTTTTCATTTCGCCTTAATGTCTTAACGGGTAGGCACCATGGTCTGGCAAAAAACGACCAGTCAAATACGACCAACCTAACAAGGTCGTAAGAGAATTTTTTTCGATAAAATTATATTTGTAAGACTTAGTATTATTTTTTTTAAAATCTATAAAAAGTAGAATAAGTAGACCCTACTTCTAACTAATCGCTGATGTCCATATACTTATCTATCATATCCTTAAAACATTAAACTTTATAAAATATCAAATCAATATTTTGTGTGGGAGTTCTGAAATTGACAAGTTCTTTCTGCACATAGATAACTGTAAGAGTGATTGTATAATAGTGGTAAACAGCTCTTGAATATGCTAATTACATTAGTTCATTAATTCATCTGAGAATTTCAATATTTTTGGTTCTTCTCACATGACCATGAATGATTGTTACTTTAATAAAAGTCTGGATGAAAAGACTATATTTCATTCGACATCTGGGTTAAGAGACTATAATACATTTAACAGTTAAAGTTGTATGAAGTGGTAGGGAGCACACACTGTTATGGAAAATATTGTAATATCTTTAATTAAGCACATATTTCATTGTATTATTTTATTGCTACACAAGCAAATGTAATTTTATGAAGAAATATCAAACTCGATAAATATATTTTAATTAATAGTCTAGAAGAAAGAAAACTTACTTCAATAACAAACACAGAAAGGATACTAAGTGTAGTTGCCGATAAAGCTTCAAGTAGCACCTCTATGTCAAGCCCGTCTGTGCGCACTAAAAAATTATACAAAATTTGATAAAACAACCTAGAATAATACATTATATATTTTGGCTATAAAAATACAAGTCTCTAATTAAATTCCATAATAATGACAATAATAATAATAGCAATAATAAAAATGATAACAAAAATAATGATAAGAAAGATTACTGTACAATACAAAAAAATTTATATTATTAATGTACAAACATACTTAAAAACATTTTATAAAACATAATGAATTATGAAAAAAAAAAATTTCTTGTTAATACCATTATATATTAAAAAGTTGAGAATTTAAAATGTACTAAATTTATGTACTGTAGTCTGTCGATAAGATATTTGCCAAGAACATATTTTATTTTATGATGTCATAGCGTTCTGTAATGAAAAAAAAAAAACCATGTTGAAATCGATAACTTTATCATGTTCATTTCTTCCTGTAAACATAAAAAATCAAAAAATAAATTGAAGACATTAATGTATGTTGAATTTAAACATATTTAAACCTGTTCTACTCACTCAGAGTTGATGAGTGGTAAATATAAAACCCATTAATGTTACCATAGAGTGATTCAAAAGTAATTCATTTTTATTAAATGAAAGTTCCATTTCGAAGAAAGGGGTAAAATCGAGTTTGGTGACAAGGGGATTATGTCTAGAACCAAGTCATTTACAGTACCAGCCAATCACAGACACAAGATCGAGATGAAGATTTCTCTGCTTAATTTCAACAAAAAGAACGGTGGCTTTGGAAAAAGTATGATGTATATTTGTGAGCATGAAACTCTGCTGACTTTTTACTGAATAGGTCTGTCTGAACCAATAAAATTACTTTCCTTGCTAGGCAGTTACATCATTTATTCCAATACAGGAAATGTAGATTTATCTAGTACAACAACTGCAGCTACTGGGTATGACTTGTTATTTTACTTATAGTCCCTGTAGATACCCATGTTGATAAACATAGTAGCTGTCTCTTATACTATATATATACATATATATATATATATACACATATATACACACATACACACAATAATAATAATATATATATATACATACATACATACAAAAGTGTCCCCTGAATAGGAGTGGCTATAGTTAAAGATATCCCTCACCTTGTTTTGTAGGCAAAATTGTCTCCTTTACATGTTAGATTTGTTAAAACACATTATAAGTTTTATCTTATCAGGGTTGTTCATAAGACTTTGTACCCTCCCATGTTTTCATGGTTTTATTATGCATTCAATTTTTATAGTGAACATTTCTCTGGTACTTCAGTACTTCTTTTTACTAGATTAGTTTGGATGTTAAGACAAAATTATGGTCATATCTACTGTAGTGGAAGCTGTCGACTTCAAGGTTAGTAATTAAGCGTGCTCGATACATCCAGGGTAGCCTAGATTGCACGTCTTAATCTTCATCATTATCATCTTGTACAAAATCGCTTTTTCGACTATAGCTGTCCAATACCTCGCCTCCCAAATTTGTTGAAAATGATGTCTTTTTTAGAATTGGACTTCTAATTGTCAAATTAAAACACATTTGAAAGAATTTCCTAAAAATCTGGGTAACTAGTTCTCTCTAGTCGCTTGCTGTTCTCTGAATAGTGGTGTGACCAGGAATGAAAGTCGACACCGCTAACAGTAACTAATTGAATTGAATCGAATCGCAAGGTTGACATACTATAAGCTTTAAAAAATTATTCTCTTCAAGTGTTTGTATCACTGTTTTGAATAATACTATACTTGAGGCTGTGAAATCACCATCTGTGCTTGAATCAACTATTTGTTCTATAATCAATATTTCGAATGTTGCAGGACAACTACAGTTATAGCATTAACCACCAAAGATATGGTCTGTACATATCAATGCTAAATTTCTACGATAAGCATTTCATAACTTCCAACTGCAAACAGATTACCATATGTATCTATTATATTCTGGGAGATGTTAATTAAGCAGAATCAATAACTGGAGCTACAATACAGTATATCGGAAGTAGGGTGGATATTCACAGCTTAACAACAGCATTTTCCAATGGCAGCTGCTTTTTTTTTCTTTATCGGAAGCCAACATCAGTCCAATGATCCATGCGGCAGAGAGCCTTAATAGGATAAAGGGGGGGGGTCATTAAAGTGTTAGATTTAACAACCATTGTTATGATCGCAGTTGATAGACTAGAACAAAGCTGATGACATAGTTGTAAGTAAATAGAGTGTATAGCTGGATTAATAGGGAAGTACTGCCACACGTTGTTTAGTATGTTTGCTACTGTCAATGTAAGTAGAAAGTGTGCCATAGGTCAATCGATAAGGTCATAATGACTATGATAAATTCAAGTTGTAGATGATGTTTTGGTTTGGAATCGGAATGGAACCTAGGAATGAGGTTTGTGGGTGACTGGCAGTCAAAAATTTGATAGGAACTGTAGGAGGCTGAGTGGATATTAACCTTTTGATTTGAACGGATTCACTCACGTTCTCTGCACAACGTAGATCTGGCCAAATTATGTCTTAGAATCCTTGTGAAAACTTAATGTACTCACATGTGACGAATCGTCCAATTAAAAGCTCCCTACTTTCAATTATTTGGAAACATTTTTGGTTCATTGGTACACACTATCTAGTGGTGCATCCAATGTACAAAATAAATAAATCATAATAATAATCTCTCTATCATTCAATCAATCAATCAATCAATCAATCAATTGTTCCATTCATATGGTGCCATTCCAACAGTCTTTGCTTATGGTGCTAATCAATGTTACCTTCTGTTTCCTCCTCTCTTTGTCTTTATTAAATTTTAATACTATATTATCGGCCATTATGGCTGTTTAATAGTAATCTTGCTTAATAACATGGTTCAGTGGCACTCGACCACTTGGTATGTGTGTGTAATCATGGTTTCACTCTGAGAGTGGTTTAAAGTTCAAGAAGTTGTAAGCATGTTAATTATGAATAATGATAACATGCACAAAAAAAAATCCTTACTGCAATGATTTATACAACTATTCTTTTTCCACTGGCTTTGATGTGCTACACATTTTGGTGGAATACATACAACATGAATTATTATAATTATTTCGTTATCTGAGTGAAAACTGACAGACTTCTAAAATTTATAGGTTTAGAATATCAACATTGCTCATGCTCATATGAGTCAATTACCAGGATTCCCAGTAATGATAATACAAACACATTATATAAAATATTAAAAATGAAATGAATATCATGGACAATGATTACCATGGTGATATAGCTGGGGATTCAACAGCCTCTCTAAAAAGTAAACAAATTTGTCATGACGATGATATCTACCTCACAACTAAAATAGACATAACCAAACCTCTCAGGAACTCCTATCATTATTGTCATTCCAGATCTGCCCTGCATACAAAACACTTCAATATAATATCAATAAAATATTATTGCTTAAACTGGAATTGTTATTGACATACCTTGGATGATGTTGATTTCAACTAATAATTCAGTTGTCGTGGCAACTATGCTAATGAACACAAGCACCAATACACCTGCCTGGACAATAATGCTGTTCATTACATTTTCTAATGTTGACGATTTTCTACAGATAAAAAAAAGGTGAATAGTCATTAATGTACCAGCAAAGTACTTTCTGTCTAGCTGGAAAAATAATAAAAAATTTAACTAAAAAAATCTAGAAATAAAAAAATAATACAGTAAAAGAAATATACGGGATCAACAATAACTTAGATTAGACATTTTATTACTAAAATGATGTGCCATTCTTAAGATAAAATTGCTAATTGGCAAAGAATTGTAACTAATGATAATCTGAGCATGTGTAGGATTAGGATCATAGTAGGACATATAAAAGGCAGTGCTTCAAAGTTGATAGTAACAATGCATAGAAAAAATATGTATCAAAAATCAGTTGAAGAAGAGAGGGTTTAAAAAACAGTCAAAGTTAAATTTAGCTAAATATTTTCACTCAAAATTAGCAAAAGAGCTAATGAATTAATACAGTAAACCATCGCTGGTATATATTCTTTTCTTTTGGCTAAAGTTTGCTAAACATTATATTTGGCCAGATTAAACCCTGAAAACCATTGAGAAAGTAAATCAGGTATTTCTCCAAGATGGCACAGACAATAGAATATGAAATGATTACGGCAAAGATGGTACTGTTGAAGAAAGATTGGTAATTCAAAATTAAGTGATTTTAAAGCACAGTTTGCTTAAAAATAGGGAATAGGCAGCATGCATGGCAGATGTTTTTTTTTTTTTGGTGCCGCATCATCTTAATGTTGATTTCTTTCAAATGGTTGTTCTATTTTAGAAACTCTGTAATCAATGAATATTGCTGTAAGTCATTCCTTTAATGAGTGAGTTAACTAGTGAAAGCAAAGACTTTAACAAAATAATGACATGAACTTAATGGCGGTTCTGAGTTATTCTTTTATTTTAGCGCCATGCATAGTGCTTTCAGTGGATATGTTCCTCTGGTTGTAATTAGCAAACTATGAGGATATTGTAAGTGCTAGTGCATGATTAGTTGTTTTTATTCCTTATACGAATTAATCAAACAAGTCATATCGGTAACAAATGATAAAGCATATAATAATTATAAAATATAATTAGACAAAAAAAAATTTAATAATAATCAAACATTAAGAATATTCATTATCAATAACAATATTGTTATAATGAATATTACTAATAATGATAATAATCCTCAATAACTTAATTATTAATCAAAAAACATTTAATAGAAAAATGAAGAGAAAAATTATACAACTCACACAAGAGATCCTTAAACATGTAAATTTTTGAATATTTCATTACATATTCAATGACTAGTTATTTCAAACGAAACTGTTACTGTAAATTCACAAAATGCTGCATAATGCGTAAGTTCTGTTTAATTTGTTTTGATTTATCAAGGGATTCAATGACAAAGCTTGCATTATAAGAACAAAAGCCAAGATCTACAACAGTACCAGTTGACTTCCATCGCCTTGGGGTAACTCACTGTAGTAGGATAAATTTAATCATAGACTTTGTCTGAGCACAACAAAGAAAAAAGGATTATAAAATTGCTATAGAACATGAAAGCATATACAACACACCTTTAAGAAGTGTAGGTCAAAATCATATGCTGCTGTATAAAATCATATTGTTTAGTCTTGATTTTTATGGTTAATTATATATTAATATATATTCAATGTTTACCTCCAGAAACATGGTCACACTACAGTACCTTAGAGTCTTAACATTGCACTAATTCTAATATTCAACATTTCCACTTGTGTTAATTTCATTTTTTCAATCAAGCCATTTGCACAACCACTGATATACATTGAATAATAGTTTAACAGCACTTAACAGTAAAGACTAATGAAAAATGCCTAATAAGCTTCCACCAAGCTACTATTACTAAAAGTAGTAGGAGGTAAGGGATAAATTGTTAGTCTGCAACACAGTGGCATAATGACGGGTCACTGGGTCCATGTTAGCGAAAGTGTTTGGGGTCCCACATTTTAGAAATCAATTACGAGTGCCACGAAAGTGGCCGAATGATCCCTTGTAGAATATCAACAATACCAGAGTCTGTTATACAGGCCTCCCTCTAATTAAAGACCCCTCTAATTAAAGACCTCTCTTCTGTGGTCCCAAATTAACAAATTTATTTTATCTTCATTAATGTAATTAGAATCCAAAGCTGTTAAATAAACCCCAGTCCCAAAAAGTGGTCTTTAATTGTAATTCTATAATTTCCTATAAGTATGTCACATAGCTCTTGGACCGACATGTTTCTTCTATTTTATATAATTTTTTTTTTCATTTTATACAAACCAAAGTTCTTCATCATAGGAACTTTTTTTTTTTCTTCAATTTTTCTCATTAAATTTTCCTGGGAAACTGCAGCCATGCTAATACCTCCCC